TTTAATAGAAATGAAGGAAACGCAAAAGAAGTCTTCTTGTATGATTACAAATGATCAGTAAAGACTACAGAATGGATTATAAAATGTAAATTGAGCTCAGACCCATTGAAGACCTGTACCATATACTGGTGGCGGGGCGGGGTTGGCAGCCATACTCAAGGGCTTCCGAACAAGGAGGAATCACTCTTGTCTTCCTCATAAGAAGAGTCAGTTATTTAATAAATATGTTAATGATATTTAAATGAACAGATGGTGCAAAGGGCAAACAGCCAGGATGACAAACACAGGAAGGCGAATGAGTGGGTCACATTCCAGCCAAGTGTGTTTTCTACATGTTAATCACTAAAGGAGAACAATAGATTCTGTTCTTGATAGAGGCAACAAAAAATAAGCAGTCGTGGATTGAGACTAAAAAACTACAAAAAAAACCCTGAGTGGCACTTATTACAATTGGCATTTCCCATTCCCTGCACAACTTTTGGGAGGAGAGTCAACACCTTCAATTCTGAGGCCACGGTTCTGTTGAAAATGGTTAGTTCCTTCTCATTGGGAGCATGTGATGGAGTGTGAGATCAACAGGTGGATTTGTCCCCAGACTCTGCCTCCTCTACAGACATGTTGATCCAGGAGGGTCCAGGAGATCTTCAAAATGCTCTTTTCACCTCTCTACAATATCTCCAGTCCAGGTCAGCAGTTCTCCTCCAATGCTGAACACAGCCTGAGCCAAGCCCTGCCTCTGGCCCCCTTCCTCGGACCAAACCAATTTTCAAACTCGGCCTTTATTTTGAACAACACACATCTACAGTTCTGTGACTGCATCTTGCATGGTTGTAATGGTATCACATTGACAAAATCGGTCTACATACCTAAACGTGTACTCAAAGTACTCAAAACTCCTTCTGTGGTCCCGCTACAGCAGGTGTCTCCAGGACCAGGACCACCAGCCCGTCCGCCCGCTTTTGACCTGATGCTATGATCTGTCTGTCATGCAAGCGGTCGCAAGCAAATACACATCAACACAACTTTCAGTGATGTAATGGAGTGCGCATGGCCGAGCAGTGTGGATAAAAAATGGACAGCACAGGAGAAATAGAGAAAGAGAAATGGTAGAGCCGAGACGGAGCGCATTAAAAGGAGAAAAGCCTGCGAGAAAAGTGGCGCTAAATGCTGTAAAATTACAGATAACTTCATGAGCAATGGACGTGGTCTGTGTTTAAAAAAAAGTCAAGAAAAAATCACAACTACCTGTCCTACATTTCCTTTGTAGGTAAGCAGGAGATGCGCATGCATGGAAGTAATCTGGAAAAGAAAGACCTGTATACTCTCTGTCAATATCTCAACGTATGTCCAGTCAGAGCGCTGAGGAAACTCCAGGTGCAAAACAAACACTCCAGTAGTGCACAAAAAAAGGATAGACAGTATTTGAATATTTAATCCTGTTGCCTCAATTGTGGAATTGAAATTGATGATTTGACTTCAGTTTCAAGAGTTAAAGTCAAGTTTATTTAAATAGATCATTCCATATGACAGACATAGACTTTTTGTAACTGAAAGTAAAAGATATGTTACCAGCATAAAAAAAAAGCCCCAGAAACATATTTGAACAAAACACATTCGGTATACGTGGTCTGTTGTGAGAGAATGTGGAGATTGGCCCAGACTGACGTTAGACTCCTGGCCTGAATGACAATCCCAGTTTGCCTCTGGGTACCATAATACTGAAGGCAGCAAACACTCACCGAGCACAACTCCTTTTGTTAAAAATACAACAGAAGAGCAACTGGTTTTTCCATCACCATCAAGTATCAATGTATTGAATCAATGATTATCTTTAAGGAAAAAGCATTATAGCAAGCAAGAATTTAAAAACATTGGGCATAATCCAGGATTTTGCGATAAAATGTCCAACACTGACGTTGTTGTCTGGAGATAGAGCTGGTGAGGAACTGATGATTGGGTTAGGAAGAGGGACATTTCACCTACTGCACCTACACAGCTGCAGCTGTGACCCAGACACTGACTATTATGGATGGATAAATGGTCATTCTTTCACTTTGGAAGTTTGGCTCTGCATTTGTAATTTTTCAAATCAAAACAAATTACGATGCCCAAGTAGAGCTCTGCGGATAACCTCATTAGAAGACTAAATGGATTGGTCCCATTTGCTTAGTCACTGCTTGTGAGTGTAACTCTATTTGAGGTCCAGACAGAACAATCACACACTCCGGTTGTAAGAAGCGTACTGCCAGCATTTGCATCCCAGCTTCAGCAGAATCTGAATAATCAGTTAAAAAGAAGAAATTAGATGCCACTACAAGGTGTATTGAATAAACAAGCCAAAACAAAAAACAATGCAGTGCTGAACACGATTCAAACAATTGCTACAGTATGTCACAGAGCTTTAGTGACATTGGCCTTTAAAACCTTGCAGCAGGCACATGTTTCTCTCAGTAATGAGTCTTTTATTGATCTGCGCACTGTGCACTCAAACTACTGGCTGGATAAGCCAAACGCTTTCCTACTCATTAGAGAACTGGCTTCTCTGGATACCAGAGGTGCAATTGCTTGGAAGATTAAAAAATCAGTTATTTATCATAGTAATGCCAGCTCACTCTGTTCCATCATGAAATCTCTTCACAACAAAGAAACGAGCCAAAATCCTTGACTGCTGATAAATCACAGCAACAGATAAATTCCATGTTTTTTATGTTCTGTGCATGTTTTACGTTCCAATGGTGTTTTAGTTTGTTGGTTTTTTTTGTCCAGATGGGAACAGTTCTTGTCACTGACATTTTACATTAGCAGGGAATGAAAATATAGTTGCGATCATAGATCCGCTCATTTTAAAAATATGTTTATTTAACCCGTTGAGTGTAAATCAATTAACTGAGAAGGCAAAAGCTGACAGAAAAAGAGTCCAAATAATACACTGTTGTGATGATAGAAGCTGAAATATTTGGCCATATTGTATGTGGAGCCAAAATACAAAAATGGGAGGGGACTGAACTGTCTTGGAAAATAATTTTTATTTTCAAATGCTGGTAAGGTGTCCACTGAAATCCAGAAAAAAACATCCACATACAGTAATGACTGACACAGTTAGAAACGGTATGTGATCATCACAAACAAATTGACTGGAGCCCTTTTGTTTCTATCACAGACACACACAGCTCATAGACCAGTTCTTCTATAGATGAAGAAAAGACACTGACCAATTACAAATTCTCAAAGACATCCAAACACTTTGATAGGGGGTTTCGCTAAAGATATATTTTACAAAAAAACCCAACACATTTGTTTAGATTGTAAAAATTGTATACACGCTGGCCAGCACAGACACTGTTATATGACAGGTCAAAACAGACTAGACACTTCTGTATCAAATAAACCTACAGCAGTATAAAAAGAGACTATTTTGTCACATGTAAATACAGTATGCAAAATTAAAAACAAGTCTCTACCTAGAGTAGATCTGGTATTAGTTGCAAATAATTAGTTGTGTTTATTTTAACCTGCTTAACTACGAGATGAGTGGGAATCACCACATAAGGACAAGCACAGTACATTGGCAATTACAGAAAAGCATATATCAACTTTCAAAAACGTTTCTGTCATTGTCTTCTGGCACTTATTCTTGTCCTTTTTTGGAAAAATCCACCCATCTGAGGAATTGGGCTTTTACACCTTTATGACTCAGGTCTCCAGCTCTACACTGAAGTTTGCTAGACATACACTGTCACTGACTCTGAGTTCTACAATGGCGAGGGTGGACTGGGAGGGGTCTTGACACTCAGTTGTCCAACTTTGTGCACAGGTATGGTACCCGCACGCTATGGTGGAGACGTCCCGGAATAGGCACTTTGACACAATCAACTCTTGACCAACAAAATAAGCCATTCGCAGTTAAAAAGATATTGAGTTTGCGTCCAAACAAACAGTATTGTGCTACAATCAAATCAATAGCTGGAACGGTTGTGGCATGTTAATTCAGCTATTTGTGGTTTGCTGCAATGGTTCACAAGTAAGAGAAATAACACTTCTGAATGTTGACATTCAACAGAAATGCATTCATACATACAGTTAAAATTGGACCCCACATCTTTAACTCCAAAAACAGTATACAAAGCTGATAATATTGAATCAAAAGATTTGAAGTGTAAAAAGGGTCACAGAGAGTTATCAGTCAACTGGGAACTTTTCAGCCTCTTTTAATCTTATAAATGAGTTTTTTGCTGCCCACACTGAGGCTGGAATTATGCTTCTCCGGGCTGCACGTAGGTGAACATGCACAGGTGTCGCTCAGATGGCTTGAGTAACTTTTTTTTTTTATCCCTTTTTCGAACCCGTTTCCTGACTGGAATTGACTCCACCAATCAGCTTATTTTTGGGAGGTATGTGCCTGGTAATAAAGTAGACATGTTAACATTGTTTTCATAACCTCGGCACGACATGCTGAAATGCTCGTTTAACACATCAGAGCTGCAAGTGTATGGCAACCTTTTCTTACATTTGTCTTTAAAATGTCACGATTCAGTGGCTGCAGAGTAACCTTATTTCCTGGTTAAATAGTTTCATATGTGAGGTTTATTGGAGGCAGAGCTGTTATGCCAGATGAATGTTAACACCTTGCCCTATTTCATATATTAGCCAGTGGCTCATAAAATGTCCTTTACTTTGACAGTGTGACAAGAAGAACATAAATCAATCCAAAGCAACTCGGAAACACTGTCGTCCTCATTCTTCTCAGTCCAAATTCAATCACACGGCGGATCGACACCAGAGTGGAAATATTTATCTCTCCAGTCCAGATCTATCATCTCTCATGGAAATGTGAGTATTTTGTTTATTTTGTGCTATCATTGTTGCCCTGTGTAGCTGTAAATTATTTTGGAATAATAGAAAATATTTAATTTGTCAGAAAAAAATTTCAAGAAATCAAAATGAATGCCTCATTTTAGTCACTGAAAGACCCCAAAGAGTGTGATCAAAGACACGGGCGATAACGTCAAAACAGCTTTTTAGTCATTTTGTACATAACCACACATTTACTCACATATTTACAGGCACACACGTGAGCTGCATACGGCCCTGCTAGAGAACAGTGCTGACGGTGTCAAAGTCCTTACTGATCTGAGAGCTGCTGGGCAGTGATTTGAGGTACTCCAGGTGCCTCCTAGCATCCTCTTGATTATGTCTCACATAGTAGATGACGTACGCAATCACCATGGTGAACCATCCGAACATGGTGACAAACATGGCTATGTCGGTAGTCTTGTGGTGAAAGTTGCAGAAGTTGATCCCTGAGTCCAGCACCTGTATTACCGGTTTGCCTGCATACTCCTCCTGCACCGCTGTGTGGCAGATCACCTCGTTCACTGTCTCGGGGTCCAGCCGCAGCTCCCTCAGGACCTCCTGCAGCGTACACTCACAGTGCCACGGGTTGTTGGAGAGGCTGATTTTTGCCCGTAGACGGGCAAATGCCTCTTTGGGGACACTTTGGATGCGATTGTTTGATAGATCCAGGACCAGGAGGCTGTCAGAAACACCTTGAAAAGCTCCAACCTCGACAGTTTCTATGTCATTGTTAGACAGGTCCAGCTCCTGAAGGTAGTGCAGTTCTTTGAAGACGTGGTTGGGGATGTGGGTGATGTGGTTGGATGCCAAAAGTAGGACAACAGTATCTCTTGGAAGATCTGATGGGATCTTCTCCAAGTTGCGAGACATACATTGGACCACGGTCATGCCACTCTTCTCCATGCAGTGGCAGCTCATGGGACAAGCCCTCACTGGTGAACCTGCTGTGAATAATCCAAAGAACAAGCCCCAAAAGAGGGCAAACCCATCAAAGATGGGAGATTTCCTGGGCATGCCAGGCCCCGCTAAGTCCTGCATATTTAGCAGCGCCCTCCAACAAATCCCGTCAGGCAAAAGCAATCATAGTTTCACCTATTTCCCAGCATTAGAAACCAATGATTGCAGCTTTATTAGCTTTCAAAATGCCAAAATGATCAGGTCATTCAGCCAAACATTGAGATAATCCTTTAAAATTGATTTGATAGAGTTTCATATAACCGTTTGAAATGCATGTTAAAAGAGCTCATCCAAAATTTGAGCTGCTCACTGAGCACATTCCAGCAGGGAACTGTAATCTCAGGTTTATTGTGAGGACATTGAAAGCTTCAGAGCGTTAGGAGCGGGGCAATCAACCCTGGAATCAACACCTCATGTTGTACACTGAAAGAAACAAAGAAATTAGCGTTATTCTTGAGCAGAAAAACTAATTTTTAATTCTTCAATGTGGCAGGAGATGGCAATATAGTTGCAGTCAGTGTACATATGAAGAATCCAGCTTATTCAGACGGAGACTTTTGCTAAGATAAGTCATTTTCTAAGTGCACAGAAAATTGCTTTTGTCTCAATAAATTGAGCTGAGTAAATGTATTCCCATAATGTTTACAAATGTGTAATGTGATTATTGAGATAAATCCATTTCACTTTAGCAAATCTCATAAACCGGCAGACACACTCTTGGGTCATCACCAGCATTTTCTCATTCAATTAGGAAAATGTGATTTTGTTCTGCATTGTCTACAATAAATGTTAGGCTACATGGAATTAATTTCTGTTGCTAAAGCACGGTAGTGCAAATCAATATTTATTATTTCACAACTGTACAATGAAGAAAAAACTCCACAGCAACAAAAACAACTTCAACTCCAACAATGAGAAAAAGCTTTTACACAGCTCTCTCCCGTCAAGGACTGCTGTTTCTCACTCACAGGCACAAGATAAGAATAGCTGCAGGCTCTAACATTGCTACTAACATCTACCCTGCGGGAGGATCATCGCTTCAGGACTGTGCACCCTCTGGTGGGCTAAACTGATTACACAGTGAACTCCTCGCTGTGTTCGAGGTCATCCGCCCCACGGAGCCCCTGTCTTCTTCTAATTTTTCTTGTCTATTTTGCCTTTGTCTTTGGCAAGGGCTGCATGGCTTAAGGCCATACACATACACACAAAGGAGTCTTAAATAAGCCCCTCACGTTCTCATCAGTATGAGCTCAGCAAGAGGTGTAGATAAGATGTGGCATCTGCACACACAAGGGCGGCTAAAACACGCTGCGCTGTTGTTGTGACGCCCCCACGTCATTAAGTAAAACAGTACATATTAAGGTTTACACATGCATACCTGCATGCTGCAGCTTGTCCTTTCCAACATGCTTGTGTAGTCATTTCTTTAAAATGAAATTAGGTGGCAAATTGGCTCTTAAATAGGCTACCTCAGATGTTTTGTTCAGTTCAGCAAGGAAATTTAAGTAAAACAAACAATAAAATAAACTATCACAGTTGGAAACTAAATTTTGAAAAGTAAGCATGTATGTATTCTAAAATATATTAGGTGTGGACCTGTAGAGGCAAGAAGACCCTGGGTAAAGATTTCATTTGAATCAGGATAATGATGCCCACGTGCAGCGCAAACAGAACAGCGTTTTGTAATATTGCGGATTTTAAACACATTAACATGTGGTTATGTGGTTAGAATTTTCCATCGGCAAAAACAAATCCAAACGGGCTAATAACTTAATGAACAAGTATGATACTTGTAGAGGTACTCACCGTAAAGACTTTTACCCTGGAATGCACTGATAGGTACTTTTCTATCCATGCCAAGAAAAGGTAGTGTTGTACCAAAGCGCACACATCGTAGATAGTGCGGCAGTAGTTTGCTCATTTCACATCTGTATCATCGCTGAAAGAAGGCTGAACCTCTCTGGAAATAAATACTAAAACAACATTTAAAAAATAAAAATAAAAGCCTAGTCAGCGTCCACTTTTCCGTGAGGGAATAAAGAATTTAACTGTCAAGTTCCTCAGTGGCACGCGGGGAAGTTATTAAATCTCCGAGTGAAATGATTCATATCTCCAAATGTGGCTCTTTTAATGTCTCCTCGTAAAACCCAACATGACAGTCACACTTGTTGGTGGTGATGATGGTGTCTGTAGAGGTGGTGTTCCGGAAAGGTCTCGAGGAGTCGCACCGGTCCGACTCATCACGCGCCTCTCTCTCCGAACCGCGCGCGCGTAAAGCCAGAAGGAGTCCCGGCTGCGCGTGGATTGGACTGCTGTTCTGCTGGCAGCCCTCCTCGTCCTCCACTTCCCCCGCCTGTCTGTCTGTCTGTCTGTCTGTCTGTTTGTCCTCCTCCCTGGCCGCCCTGCCTCCACCTCCCCTCTCCTCTGAACCCTTCTTTCTAATCGGACAATTAACCAAACAAATAACACTAAACCTGAAAAATAAATTTTATCAAGTCAAGTCATTGAAAATTACTTATTTGCCTTAAATCAAATGAAAACAGCATGATATCCGGACCAAGACTGTGTTTGATACCTGAAATAAGCTCTGAAAATGTTCATTGTTCTTTCCATTATGTTTTACATTGTTTTAATCCTATAACATGCAGTGATGTCTGTGTGTCTGTGTGAGGTCTTTGACCTCAACCTTCACTGGATAACATGCAGTGACAATTTCATAATTAAAGTGTGACAGAGAGATTATTGGAATCTCATGTAAAACACTCCACCTCAAGAGCTTTAATAATCCCGAGTGCTGTATCAAATAGACAATCAAAAAGCCAGGATGTTAGGGATTTAGACTGCACAGAAGTGAATCAAGATGTCAGTTTTGTGGTCCGCACCTATTCTTGTGGTAATTGCTCCATCCCAACTGTGGAGGCTTATTCCACACTAAACTGCATGCAAAGTAGGCTATATGTTTTCGGTTTGTCTTTTTACTTAATACATGACTTTCTATGACTGAATGAAGCACCATGCGTGTCTGCATCAACTAACAAAAATGAGTTAAAGAGAATGTCTTATTATAATGCAAGAATATTAACATGTGCCTGTACTTATTATAGAAACAAACATTTTTCCTTACACCTCTTGCTGGATGAGCGTCACCACCACAATGAGTATGATTTGCATCATGATGGTAAATAAGGTCATATCCCATGTGACTTTAACAGATTGACGGTACATGACCACACACGCAATGGAGCATTCAGCATTGGGTTTGGGTTTTTTGTTTCATGTCAGTATAGGGAACTCATAAATGAAAAGCTATTTCAAACAGGGTTGGGGCAACTTACATTGCATTTGAAAGTGTGTTTGACAATCTAAATCTCAGTGGTTCATGAAATGTTCATGTGTACAGTTTAGTGCAGGTCTGTCATCTCAGTTGTCCAGATAACCTTGACAAGAGCAAAAAATAATTCTGCAAATACAGGCTTGGAAAAGTGAGTTTAACCAACCGCTTCAATTCCATTTGCAGTCCCCATGTGATTTTAAAATGTAGGTCAGTTGGTCCCAATGTTCCAGGTGTCATTTGAGCTACGAAGGAGTGCAAGTTTATCATGAGCCCAGTCCTGCCATAGTCTCAAACCCATAGCGGGCCAGCTGGCATGGCGAATTGTGCTATATGTGGCACTTTACTACTGAACTTTTGGATTTGGGGTAACCATGGGGCTGTTAGTCATGTAATATATATTCACAACGAGAATTTATATGTCTTTTTAAACAATACATTGAATTACGTTCCCGTCAACTCTGGGATTTGAAAATAAGGGACCCCGGAATGTGAGACCTGGTTGAAAGTCAGTTTCTGCATAATATAAATGAAAACACAAAAAGCCATTTTAAATTCAGCACTTACAAGTTTATTTGCCTACTTACAGATTACGTGTCAATTATGATTTTGACAGAGGTTACTGGTTAAGTGAGACAATGAGTAGAAAAGAGTGATTCCAAAAATGGAACGGGAGAGGTAAGGTGAGTGAGAGAAATTCCTCCCGTTTGGCAAGATACTTATGTTACATCCTTGTAAAAGAGATTAAAAATCTCAATGGATTTCTTTCCTGGTAAAATAAAGGTAAAATAAAAAATAAAAAATATGTCAGCTAATTTTCCATATACTGCCACAGGCTTTACCGGAGGGGAAGGTAGCAAACATCAAATATGGCCAGTGGGTTTTATTTTTTAGAAAGTTTAAAAATGCGGGAGATTTACAGGAAAATAGTATGATGTGCTAAAGCAGCACTAATACATATTTTTCCATTAGCGATAGATAAAATGATTGTGTGTAATGTAAAAGGGTTCACTTGTTGTGACAAACCCAAAGAAGTATCACCCAACTCCGCAGTTTCCCTCAGCTTGACGGAGAGTTTACGCTCCTTTCTGCTGTTCGTTTTTGGCAACATTACTGTTGGTTGATTCTCAACGCTCTTATAAACCTTGTTTCTACAAATAGTGCTTAGCTGTTTTTAGCAAAAAGAAGCACTGATACTCTACCTACATAGCTCCAAACATCAGAGAGACAAAGTTAGCAATTAGCTGGACAACATACTGGAGCATTTAGAAGCTAAGAAGTGTGTTTACCTCAAAAACCCAGCTGTGATCTAAGTTAACATAGCTCTCCTTATCAGCTAGGCTCCTTACATGCTTGCTAATAATTTTTTTCACTGTCTCCGACATTGACAGTTATGTTGGACAGATTTGTGCAGCGTTGTTCCTGAGAGAGAGAGCGAGAGAGAGAAGGTGCTGCACAAATATATGCGAAGCACTCTGCAATCAACTGCGATTTTAAATAGGCCTAAGTAAAAGGAATCACATATTAATATATGGCAGTCGGCAATGATGCTGTGGCGGGCCGCCACAAACAAATAAATGTATGGGAAACAGTGATGACGTAAATGTGCTCCGGCTCGGATCGTTAGGCGCAGTGTGAGCGCAGGCCAACGGGGGAGGGGGGACAATCGTGCTCGGGCACGGTGCAAGGCAACCTGGCCTAGCGTGAGTATGCCCTTAGTGGAGACTGAAACAGAGCTAAACGAAGACTGAATATTGGATTTACATTGGTAAGTGGCCAATAACTGGACTTCAAAAGAATGGTGAAGTTTCTCTTTACCTGCAGAATGTGTAAATAGGTGACTGTTTGCTAACACATATATATATTTATGGGTTTTATAAGCTGATAATATAAAACTGTGTTTTCAGCTTGCTGCACTGCCCCCAAATGGCCAAAAATGTATTTAATGCAGGGTTGATGAACTGACCAAATGGGTGAAAGAAAATTCTAAACAAGTACCTTCTTACAAATGTATCAAATTAAAATACCAACAAATAAGGTATGAGAAAATGTTTTTTATTAAAATACATGTAACATAAACTGTTTATGCCATTAACTAAAAACAATTCATTTAGCTGACGCTTTTATCCAACTTACTATTGCAGTGTATGTCAGAGTCACACGCCTCTGGAGACACTAGGGGTTAAGTGTCTTGCTCAGGATCACAGTGGGAATTAAAACCAGGGTCTCCCACACCAGAGCCAGGTGTCTTATCTGCTGCACCATCGCCACCCAAACATCAAAAACAGCATGTCTTCAGTTAGCTTTCAGTGACTGCACCCGCTCCGCCCAGTTTCAAAAAGCAACCAAATGTCCTCTAGAGTGCCTTTCCAGTGGCCTACCGAAAGTAAAAATAGGTTGATTATCAATCGCCCCAAAACGACATATACTGTATGTTCGTTGGAAAGTACAACAACATATATCAGTCTTTCCTCAAATGACATATATGTCAATTGGAACGTACCACTCTAGCGACAGGTGTACTGGGCCTTTATTACATTACGTGATGTAAGTCATATGGCGTTAAACACGTGGTTGCAGTTTGCAGTCAGGTTTAGGCAACAAAACTACTTGGTTAGGTGTTGGAACATTAAACTTAACTGTAAATAAGTCAACCGTGACTCTGTTTCACTCTGAACTCGCACCAATGTCTCCTACGTAAAAGTCCTCCGCTTGTTTGACCTATCCATACATTTACCGAGCCACGTTCTCATGTGGACTTTCTCCCTGTTTATACTACGTCACCTGACTTCCTCCTTTGGGACTGTCATGCAGCCACTAGTGATTGCACCTAACAATAAACGTCAATATGGGTCATAAAAAGCTGCTGCACAATCGGCTGCCTTTCTGGTGAGAACGGCAGCTGGTGCCCTTTTTATTGTTTTTGCCCCTGCCCCTCAAACAGCCCACCAGTCCCCCCCCACTTCCACCTGACAAAAAAAGAGTACATCCTGGTCTTTATTTTCCAAATTATTTTTATGCATAAACATCTCCTGCTTTCATACATAGCATGATTTTTTAAGCAAGTTTTTTAAAGTACATAATCAGCTCTGTAAGGGTAGTTTTGGTATGACGTGCTGAGGGCGGCCTGCTTGTATGTTTTTTTCTTTTTTAAACACAACCACATCCTGTGCTTGTGAAAACGTGTAATTTCACAGCATTTAGTGGCACTTTCCTCCCTGGCTCTTAATGCGCTCCCTCTCAGCTCTACCATTCCTCTTTCTCTCGTTGTCTCTTTCTCCTGTGCTGTCCAATTGTTATCCACACTGCTCGGCCACGCGCCCTCCATGCACTGACTGAATGTTGTGTTCATGTGCATGCGACCAATCGCGCGTGATGACAGACAGGGATCATGGGATCATAGCATCAGGTTAAAAGCAGTTCATCAGCCCCTGTCCAGTTCTGACAGATCTCTTTGATTTACCCATCTAGCATTTCTAGCACTGGCCTGACACTCTAGGCTTGTTCCTGATGGCCAGTCCGGGTCAGATTAAGGTGAAAAACAACAAATTGTGAGTTTAGACTCACAATGTTCTGTCTGGATTCATGATAGTTGTGACCTACAATAGGTTTGAGCATTGTTCATACATGGGTTCTTTTGAGAAAAGGAAAATCTCTAGAAAGATTAAAATTAAGAATAAAAATAAAAATATTTAAACTAATATATATATATATATAAAGAATCCCCCTCTCACCCCTTGCGGGGTGGTTTGTCATCCTCAAGTTTGGGTCCTCCATGGGAGTTAGAAGGTTCTGTGCAGTATCTTAGCTGTTCCTAGGACTGCACTCTTCTGGACAGAGACCTCTGATGTTTTACCTGGAATCTGCTGTAGCCACTCTCTCAGTTTGGGGGTCACAACCCCCAGTGCTCCGATTACCACTGGCACCAC